GTGTGTATTAGTCAGGGTTCTCCAGAGAAACAGAGCTGATGAACAAGAGAAGAGAGGGGAGATTCATTTTAAGGAATTGGCTCATGAGACTGTGGGGGCTGGCAAGTTCAAAATTCTCAGGGCGTGCAGCAGGCTGGACACCAGGCAAGAGCAGACGTTGCGGTCCGAGGCTGAGGCCGTCTGCAGGGACAATTCCCACTTCCTGGGGGCAGGGTGGTCTTTTTTCTCTTAAGGCCTTCAACTGATTGGATGAGGCCCACCAACATTAGGGAGGGTAATCTCTTTACTCAGAGTCTACTGATTTAAATTTCCACTGATTTAAATAATGCCTTCCAGTAACACCTTGACTGGCATTTAACCAAAAAATACAGCCCTGCCAAGTGGACGGATAAAGTTTACCATCACACCCTGCTTTTATGGGAATACTTATCCTGACTCTTTTCTCAGAAGATAATCCTTATTTTGTGAGAACAGCCTGTGGTCACGCAGTCTTTCTACCAGCGACCAGGGCCCTTGTCTGGAATGTGGGACGGTCACGTGCACAGTGAGCTGCCTCTGTATTCCGTCCTTGGTGCAGCTGAGTTGAGCGTGCAGCAGCTATGCTGGTCATGGGACAGTAGTGATGAGAGGGGGAGATGGCCAGTCTGTTTATTTCCAGCTTAGACTCCCGTACCAGTAATACCTGCCTATTATTCAGGTGATTTCAAGCATCTTTACATGAATATTTATGTCTTCCTCTTCTTTTTCATCCTCTAGGGGGACCCAGGTCAAATACTGGGCCATGTGCCTGGGACACTGTTGAAAGGCGAAAGAGGGTTTCCTGGAATCCCAGGGATGCCAGTAAGCATCTGCTAAAGAATTATAAGCACGGGCTGCACCACCTCCTAGCTTGCATTTTAATTCTTTTCTTTCTCAATCATTTATAGGGCTCACCAGGATTACCAGGGCTGCAAGGTCCCGTTGGCCCTCCAGGATTTACTGGACCACCAGTAAGTGTTTGGGGATATCTCTCTGAGGCAGCTATTCAAAGAGCGCTGTGTCGAGGTGTGAAAATGAGTGATTTTATGAAAACTCTATGCAAAGGTGATCCCTTTTAATTTAGATATGGCAGAATCAGCTTCTTTCTTATGAAAATGTTTGGTCAGCATCCATGGTCCTCATATTCCCAGAGCTGTGGGGAAAGGGTAATAATAGTCAAAACAGGTAACACAGTCATTGTTTGAGGGGCTGGCTGGAAACCAGGGATACCCACAGACTGAGACAGTGGAGTTCAAAGACGGATAAGGCAGGCTCTGCATGGGTGACCTCACCTGGAGCAGGGGAGACGGATTTGCAGAAACATAATCATACAAGAAGCTCTGGATCTGCTGGGAGCTGTGGACACAACCAGGCGGCAATGCAGAAACTGCACTTTATTTGTTATTAAGAATTTACAAACCGAGCACCCGGAGATGAACCTCCAGGAGACTGTGCTGTCGTTGGCCTCCTGCACAGTTACTAATTCTCAGTGGAAGGAAGCCATCATTTCCTCCCCACTGTGACATTTTTGAGAGCGCAAGAGAGTTACAGTCAAGGAGATGCACCTATGTTCCAAGTGCCATGTTCGCGAGCTCCAGGTGACGCCCCCGAGTTTGCCATCCTTCCACGGCCTGACGGAGTGCTCTTAGAGCGTCTCAGGCTTATGTTTTTAATTTACTTTTTTTTCATTTTCTTTTTTTCTAAAATCCAGAAATTATTCTTCTATCCATCGTGTAAATGTAGTCTCTTTTATATTCTCGCAAATAAATGGGCAGTTTTTATGAGTCAAAAATGACTAGTTTTTCCATTTTAAAATGATTGGGAAAAGCTTTCTCAAACTTTGTTGCAAACATTGGAAGTTTCTAATTTCACTATAGCCTACTCACTCAAAGAAAACCCAGCTTTTTAAGATAAACAATTATATCTAAAGTGGACAAACATAATTCTCAAGGTGAAAACTCTGGGGACCCTGGGGAGTTTGGCTGGTGGCCATGCCTCATTCTAGCAGCTCATCTTGGTGCGTTCTTAGGTTATGGGAGTCCACAGGGCAACACCTAAGATTTTGAGGTATTTCCAATCCTGTTAATAATTGTCCTGGACCAATTGCTGGTTATTTTTAAAGTTTTACAGTTCTACTGCACAGGAAAAATACTTAACAAATAAATGATCATGTTAACCACGGAATCTTAAGATGATTTTTAGCACAAAGAAGGATTTAAGGCTCACTAGAGTTGAATCATATTTAATTAAAGTGATTTCTCTCCCAGGGTCCCCCAGGCCCTCCTGGCCCTCCAGGTGAAAAGGTAAAGTTTTTTTTTTTTCATTTATTGTTCTTTGTCATTAGTATAAGACTGTCATGAAATTGTCATAACTCATTCTGTAAGCCTCTCCCAGGGTCCCCCAGGCCCTCCTGGCCCTCCAGGTGAAAAGGTAAAGTTTTTTTTTTTCATTTACTGTTCTTTGTCATTAGTATAAGACTGTCATGAAATTGTCATAACTCATTCTGTAAGTTTCTGTAAAAATTTTGGAAAACTATGTCATCTTTATCTATCTATATATTTAAGCATTTATC